CTCTCTCTCTCTCTTCTCTCTCTCTCTCTCTCTCTCTCTCCTCTCTCCTCTCTCTCTCTCTCTCTCTCTCTCTCTCTCTTCTCTCTCTCTCTCTCTCTCTCTCTCTCTCTCTCTCTTCTCTCTCTCTCCCTCTCTCCCTCTCTCCCTTCTTCTCCCTCCCTCCCTTCCCTCCCTCCCTCCCCCCTCCTCCCTCTCTCTATCGCACTCTCTTTTTCTCATCTGTTCTCTTATAATTTGACTTGTCCCTACTCGTGATATGTTTAGGGGGTTTGTCCCTCCTGAAATCTCTACCTGAAAATCATTTTTATTTGGTTATCTTAGAAAATGGGAAGACACACTATCCCTATAATGTTATTTTTAGGGAGTTTTGTCTCCATCAAGAACCTATTTTTTGAGGTAGTATATTGTATTCCGTAGAGCTGATCTTTTGAAAAAATAGGTGTTTGTATTACATCATTCTTATTTTTATGTTGAGATAAAATTAGAATAGTTATGTCGCTTTGGAAATCTTACATTTTAAAGAAACCAAAAAGGTCACTGCCAAGGTTGGTCCTCGTAACTGAGAATAGTCACCATAATTTTCATGATTTATTTCACAGATGATGCAGAAGAAATTTTGAAGAGTCCAGATGTAGAAAAACCAGTTGGCAAGAAAAAGTCATCTGTTCCAAAGAAAGGAGTGGTATACGAACCTTCTTCTGTTGTTCCAAAAAAGAGTGCTGATCCAGAGAGCCTGAAGCCATCTGTAGTTCCTAAAAAAGGTGCAGACCCAAGCAGCCTAAAACCATCTGTTGTTCCAAAGAAAGATGCTGATCCAGAGAGCCTGAAGCCATCTGTAGTTCCCAAAAAAGGTGCTGATCCAGAGAACTTAAAACCATCTGTAGTTCCAAAGAAAGGTGTTGATGCTGAACTGGTTAACCCCATAGTTTCTGAGGCTAATATGCAAATCCCAACCCAGAAAGACCCAACGGTTGTGAAAGAGAGCACAGTATCAGATGGTAGTGCAGTGCTTTCTGAAAAGTCAAAGTCTAATCCATCGGCAGCTGTCAATGCCTTACCATCTAGTCCACAGAAGAAACCTACACCAAGCCTAATTAGCCCCACCAAACCTTTGAAGGGATCTCCAACCCCAAGCCCAGTACTACCCACCGTACATTTGGCCAGCCAGAATGAGTCTTCCAACAGCACAAAGCCAGAGAGCAGCCCACCTTCTACTGACTCCAGTGAGAGCCGCTCGAAGCCAACAGCAGCTGTAGACAACCTTGATGCAGAGGAGAAGGATTCAGAGGGTAGTGGTGCATACACACCAGCTGCTGTGGGAATCGTATTGCTCTTGTGCATTGTTATCACTGTCATGATTTTAGGTATCCGAAGACTGCAAGATGTGTGGATGAGAAGACACTATGCTCGGATGGATTTCCTTATTGATGGAATGTATGACATGTAATGGAGTCTTATTTGTTGAGTATTTTGGTCACAAAAAGTGATGATACATATTTTTATAATTTTTTAAAGTTTACATCAATGAGGTTACATTTTGTACACATATTTCAAGTGTTGCATTTCTGCTTTACATTTAAAAAATACAGATACTGATGATACTGTTGCAGCTTATTGTATTTTATTTGTTCTTGGGTGGTGCTTAGTCATAGTATTGATAAGTGAACAGATTTTTTAATGACTGTTAAAGGTAAAAACTCAGGTTTTTAAAAGTCTTGGTAGAGTGTAGTATATAATTAGAAACTGCATATTTGGAAATAGAGAGTACGATATAGGTAATTTATTCTTTTAATGTGTTATTTTGGTGCATTAGAATATTTTATATATGTGAATCTCCAAATTGCAGTGTAGCAATATAGTCACTCATAATGGGTACCTAAACTTTGAAGTCATTTTAAGTATATACTGTAATGTAATGTGGGAATTCTTGAAATAAAATGTGATTGCTCATGAATGACAGAATTTTGTCATTGTGATGCTGTTATTTATGTATCATGAAACATCTTTTGGAAAAAAAGGTTCAGAAATAGTAAATTAATGTGAAGAATTTTATAGAAATTGTTGTAATGTTGATAAGAAAATAAAGTTTAAGAATAGAGGACATTGCTTGTTAGGCTTACTAAAACTAGGTCTGACATATTATTTTAGTGACCATCTCTCTTCTTAGGTAGTATTGCAGCTTTTTCCATTCAGCTTGTGTTAAAGTAATATTACTGTATTACTTTACGTAGTAATGCTATCAATTACCATTTAGAGTGAGTCAGATGCTCGTATGCATGTATAGCTCAGTAAGAGAATCTGGTTTCCATATCATTTATTGTAAGTGTGCAGGGTAATGCTTATGATGTTTTGTATGTTAACTTTGTGCGAATTTTCAAAAATGAACGAACAGTTTTGCCATACATTACCATTACAATTTTTGTAATACATTAAACATAATTTTTACTCGTATACATGGTAATAAGGATTCCTTTCAAGGTAATTCCCTGTTTAGCTCTGTCAAGTATCTTTTCAAAAGAAACAGGTAAAATGTCTTTCAAAATATGGAATAGTACGAATTACTGTGCCTTTTTTATGCCTTTTACAAATTAATAGATTACAGTGACTTTGTCTATATGTATTAAATTGTAATTTTTTTACCTTTATAATGGAGCATCTGTGAATGTCTTAATAGTATCTTTAGTGATCTGATATTTTTCTAAGGAATACATCATATAAATTACTCATACGATTGCAGTTGTAGTTTAAGGCATGGTGGGTTGCACATTTATGAATTGCACTTTGATATTTGTATGTTAGTGAAGGATCTTTGCTATTCTCTCATCAGTGTTAATTGTTCTATTACTTTTATTGTATATATGTATATATATATATATTATATATATATATATATATAATATATATATATATAATATATATATATTATTATATATAGTATATATATATATAGTATATATACTATATATATATGTATTATATATGTATGTATGTATATATATGTGTGTGATATGTGTCTGTATATTATTGTGTGGTGAGTGTGTGTGAGTGTGTGTGTGGTGTGTGTGAGTGTTTTGTGGTGTGTGTGTGTGTGTGTGTGATGTGTGTGTGTGTGAGTGTGTGTGTGTGTGAGTGTGTGTGTGTGTGTGTGTGTGTGTGTGTGTGTGTGTGTGTGTGTGTGTGTGTGTGTGTGTGTGTGTGTCCATTTTATATATACATATACACATGTATATATATGTATATATGTACATATATACAAATATATACATATATTTTTTTATTTCTCATCTTTCCTAGGATTAGATATGAAAGGGATTAGATATAAAAGGAAGGTAGAAGTAATGGGCAGCTGTGTGATACTGTACAAGCACATCAATGAAAGTGCATTGTTGGAGAATTTTGATACTATTTGTTAAGATACAGTTTGGGATGGGCAAGCGTGTATAAAAATAAGTTTAAGAACATGTAGTATTTTTTTCTTTATTTCTTTTTATTAATGCGTAATGGTAAGCGATGAGTTACTTTACTGTGGCATTTGTAAACCAAAACCAAAACTCGGTGTCTCCTCTTCGGTGTTTGATAACATTTTGCTCTGAAATTTTTATTAAAATTTTCAGTTTTAAGACAACAGAGTATACAAAAGAGAAAAGTCTACAGGTATACCGTTTATTTGTATAGATCAGTCTTTTGGCAGATTCAAGCTTATGGAGAAACACAGCTTTTGTGAAAAAATTTATGTAGTCACAAATGTAATTAATTTATCATCATACTTTGTTTTTTCCATTAAAGTATTCTACTTATTTTGTCATTTTCAATTGGCTTGCTTATTGTTTAGCTTTGGCATTAGGACATAATGTACTCTACCCTTTAAGTGCTGCTAATATCTCCTGCTGGCTTCAGAATGGTAAGATGTAGGATAGTTATACTATTAGTTGTAGTCATATTTTAATTTTTTATTATTACTTATTTTCCTTTTATGTTTTTATCCTTTTATTTCTTCTCCATCAGTGATAGTGACATTCCCTCCATGATTGTTTGTATATATATATGATTACATCCGACCCCCCCCCCCCTTCTTGGTGTAGCTGACAGATATTCAGTGATATAAAAGGAAATTTTTAGAAAGAAATTGTTCAATAATTGTGCTATAATGAGCATTTTTTAGGAAGTATGCTTTTCAATTATCTCAGATTATATTATTTGTTAGCTCTTGATGTTTATATTAAGCATATTGTATCTTTACTAATGGTAAAACTATGGTATGACATAGGTTACATTAGTGCATGTGCATTTTTGATGCTGTGACTGACAATCATTTGTTTTTACGGTGAACAAGTTGATTTATCGTGCCTGAGACATGAGAAATTACTTAATTTTTCATACTTTTCCCTCAAAACTGTGATGCTTTTTGTTATCTGAATATATTTCCATTGTTTTCTGAATTAAAGTGTATTACACACTAGTAGTAATTTCTTTGAAATAACCCTTTAAGGACTGAGATTGAATGGAATTTGAATTTCATTTCTTCACAGGATATCTATTCATTGACACAAGATAGGTTGAGGAATATATTTTGATAGGATTGTTGCCATAACAGAGGAATCAAAGGATACCTTTTATCAACAGAAGCAGTGAAATAATACGGTTAATTCTTTCCTGTCATAATTTTTGTTTTTTTATTTACAATTATCAAGAAAAAGAAGTGATTATTTACAAATCAAAATGTAGAAGTGGCAGCGTAATTATCATAGAATCTGGAATGTACATAAATGGTTTGCAGCTTGGACTTCAAATGGAAATTTGTTCAATACTTAAATACATCACCTTATTATATCCAACAGTATTTCAGTAAGAAACCATTACTTACAGATTTTCTTATCTTTATATTTGATAAAAGTGAACAAGAAGTATCTGCATTCCAGATTAGCATATGATGAATATTTGAAGGTTTCTCATTTTAATTTGTTTTGATGTTAATAATTAAAAAGTAAAACTTGAATCAT